CCCCCCCCCCCCCCCCTTCTAGTGGAAAAGATATAAAACCACTTTTCATTGAAAGTTGTTCCATTAGGGTGCCACTGACAGGTGATACACTGCATCACATATCCTTCTATCCTTAGGAGATATGGAAAATCTCACCATCTAAAAAGGTTATTTTATTTTAACGGACCAAGTATATCATATTTCAATTTTTTGAGTTTTTTCTTTTAGACTTTCCCTTCAGATTTTTAAAACGCGGTTAAAAAAAGATTTCCACACTCATATTAAAAATGCTTTATTTTCTTCTCCAACCGATATGTGATCTTAATAACTGCAATGATATAATTAGTGATGAATCCAAATCATCAATTAATAGCAGATAGCTGCTTTTTTAGCAGTTCCACTGCGGAATCCAGCCTGATGATATCCATGTGGTTCTGTTTCATGTTGATTAGGTTCATCCTTGCCTTTAAATTTCTAAACTACATAAAGTTGCAAGGGCTTAAAGTTGCAGGGCTTTTAAGTGATTCACCGTTTAAAGTTCTAGTTTCAGCTGAATGTAGTAGATTTTTCTGATCAGATTTGACCTGTAGCTTGTTCATTCCTCTGATGCTTTAACAGCTTTATCTCCAACCATGGTAGAGAATTGGAAGAACAATGTGGCATCATATGCACTAATATCATCTTCAACATGATGTTTTCTTGTTTTTGATGTCTGGAACTCATCTGTAGGTAATGGATTATGCATCACTACCACATTTTTGTCGGAAAGAAAGATCAGGATCATCTCGGCATTCTGAGAATGGAACTACAGAAAACTGTTTCTCCTACGACAGCGCATTCCATCAACAACTCTACAATTACATTCATCAGCAAGGTGCAGTTAGAGAGCCCATTGTTCCAATCAAACAGGGATCATTTCATGTAGACTTCCCAGAACCAGATCCAAGAGATGTCGAAATTGCCAAAACGATTGAAACAGAGTTCCATAAGATGGAAAACCACAACAATGCGCTCAGCTATTCCATGAATGGCCTTAAAGTCAATGGAGACTGATGAATGAAGAACACTAATCATGTCTAGTAAGCTACACGCCTAGTGTGATATTACTACATAGAAAGTTTATATACAGTATCTACTACTGCCATTGGTTCCAGGACAAAGCAATTTTTGTATACATTGGCTTCTCTAAACTATGCTTTAAGCTAGTCTCGATTAAGATGCCATAAAAAGAAATGATTCGATCCTCTTATTTTGATTTCTCAAACAAAACTAAAAGATCAATAGGAACAAGAGGTTGTAAGAACCATTCTCAGTTCAGAGATCAAATCAAGCTTTGATAAGCAAACAAATCTCAATACAAAATGTTTCAATCAATAATCTAACAAGCCATCGCATATACAAAATCACTCATCCAGATGTTGCTTACAATTTCTGGTTACCTGAACACAAATTTACAGGCAACAAATGTATACATACAATGATTATATATTTCTCACCTGAATATTTCGAGTTCCACCGTCGAGCAAAAGAATATGTCACATAGACTTCTCACCAGGCAGGTAGGAGGGAGATCCACCCTCAACCTTGTTCTTTTTCCTAACAAATATCCCGCTAAGGTTCGGTAAAAGTAACTTCTTTGAAAAGGTTTTATCTTTCTCCAACTTTTTCGACTCGACTCGTTTCACTGTTGTGTTCAGCTTTTGAAACCTGCTGTGCCTCGTCTTGACTGTTTTCACTGTTGTGTTCTGCTTTTGAAGCCTATGGTGGCTTGAAGATGATTCCAAAGACAACTCTGTTTCAGCCAAAATTCTCGATGCAGCTTCTTCCGCTTTCTTCTGCTCTCGTTCACGCCACCTTCTGAGTTCGCCTTCCACGGCCTTCTTAGCTGCTTCTGCCATCTCGGCTCTCTTTAAAGCTTCCCCAGTTGCAGTCTTCATATCCTCAATTTCCTTCTGGGATGCTTCTAACTTCTTTATAATTTCATTTTCACTAGCCTTCACAGCTTCAACCTGAGCCAATGCAGCAGCCACTTTCATTTCTGCTAATGTGTCCGACTCCTCGACTTTCCGGCTTAATGACTCGAATTCTTCCTTAGAGATAGTGATGTTAGCCCCAAAATCAGAAGTCGAAGCTCGTGCCGCATCGGTTCTCTCAGACAGTTCCTTAATCTGATTAAGGGCTCTTGCTTCAGCTGCTTTTGCTTCTTCAGCTTCCTCCACTGCAATTCTCAGCTGCTTCTCAGCTGCTTCCATTGCAATTTTGGTGGCTTCTGCTTCCTTCCTCAATTCTTCTGCTTTCTTTTTCATCTCTTCTTCTCCTCGTCTAGCGTTCTCAGTTTCCGACGACAGCTGGTTGAGAGTCGATAGCATATATTCACAAGCACCTCTTGCTTTAGATTCTTCTGCGAGGTATGCTTCGAGTTCAGATTTGCTCTTCCGAAGCTGGACGTGCAAATTACCAGCAAGAGATTCCGCCTCGGCCTCTCTCTCCTTGAGTTCTGAATGTTCTTTCCTCACATTCTCCAGTTCCAACTTCAGTGCTTCAACCAGGCTATGGAGGGATCTTTCTTCTTCAGCTACTTTTTGTAGGGACCCTTTTGCATCATCGAGCTCCGAGGTGACATTCTTCACCGAATCTAAATCCGAAGCTTTTTTATCTTCCATTTGTTTCTGCAGTTCCCCGATTTCATTCATCGTCTCGCTCAGCTGCGATTCAAGATTCCTACTGATATCAGGATTGATTTCCTTCTGCAAAGAAAAGAGTTTTTTCGCCGACTCTTCAAGAGCCGCTTTATACGACCGTCTCTGAATGTCCTTCTCCGCAAATATCTTCTTTTGCTCTTGCTGTGCTTGCAGGGATGCCAGCTTGAGCTTTTCAATAGATTCTTGGGCAGCCAAAATTTCCTTAGAAAGCTCATTTGCTTTCACCTTGTGTGTTTTGAACGATTCCTCAGCAGCCGTCACCTGTTTCAACGCAGCAATTTTCGCTTCCAAAGATGCATCGGAATGTTGACGATTTTTTCTCAATTCGTGCTTCGCAGCATCTAGCTCTCCAATCGCTATCATGTACTGAGCTCGAGTTGTTTCCAAGTCTTGTTTCCAACCCGGATCATTTCCAGAATGATTGCTTCCGTTTGCCTCCTCAAGCTGCTTAGCTCGAGCCTTGGCAACTTCCGAATCCTTCATGGCAGATTCTTTCGATTCCCTCAGCAATTGCAGCTTCTTGTTCAGCTCATCAACAGCTCGTTTATTGTTTTCTAGTTCAACAAGCGCTTCGGATTTCGTAATTTCAGCATTCTTTAGCTGATCCTTTAATTTTTTCAGCTCATTTTCTGTCAAGTGGAGTTGAGTCTCCTTTGCAAACACTCTCTGTCGACACGAGAACCAAAAACATCAGCAACATCATAAACCGTTTTCTTTTACGTTTTTTAAAGAACCTAAAACAACAAATAAAGAGCTTCCACAAGAACCTCTACAGAACGAGGTTGCTTCGACTTCCTCACAACTGGTTGTTCACCTGAGAAAGCACCCTCACCAAACAAGTTGACAGCGTCTTTGACAGACTGGAACGGTGAACTAGTGTCAATTTCGCCTACTACTTTGGCATTCGGCGAGTGAGTTGCGATTTGATGATCCTTCACACCCATTTTACTTTTCATTTTCTACGTATTACGCAAATTCTACCTGTTCGAACAAATCGACATCAGGCGAAAGGAGTATACACAAACAACTTACAGCTACAGGGACATCAAATCTAATAGAATCCTCAGATTTCTTCCTAAACTGTATCATCAATGAGAACATAGATGGTTGTACATGTTCAAAAGACCATTATTCATTTCGACAAAGCACGAAAAACTTATCAGACGCTCAACATTCGATAACTAAAATCCAGATTTCACAGGGCGGTAACAGAGGAACATAAATTGCACAGGACGCAAGACGAAAAAGCGGGGCTGTCGTATAAACGGTAGCTTCCCTCGACCTAGGGTCAATGATCCGCAACAATTCTTACAATTCTTCATGAAAAGATTAAGAACCAAGAACAAGTATCAACAAAAGTTTCCTATCCCATCAGATAAGTAACAATCAATCAGAGATGATTCTCGAGTCAAACAAACCCATAACAGCCCAACATTTCAAAACTAGCAAAGTGTGAAAGCTTCCATGGCAGCCATTTCAAGCACCAAATGACTAAAAACTTACAGCCAAACTAAATTAATTGAGAGATATTCGATGAGCAATCATAAACACAAAGAAAACCCAGAAGAACAGATGAGAAATCAAAAGATGAACCAGAAACAAACCTCAAAATGACTGACTCCACCAAAGCCAAGAAAACGGCAAACCCTAGAAACGATCAAAAAGCGCAAAATGAAGAAGAATCACTTCATCATTATAAAATCAAACAACAACCCGAATCGTCCGGCTTGTCCACGAAGAAGCTCCATCGAACCCACAACCCGAAATCCAAAACCCAAAAGAAAAAAACTCAAAAGATGGAGAAAAAAAGGAAAGAACCCCAGAAAAAAATGATGGGATACCTCGAAATTTGGAAACAAAAAACCAGTACCCAAGGATCGTATGTGTCTAGAAAGCGCAAAAGGGTATTTCTCAAAACGATATAATACGCAAGACGCAGTATCGAATTGAGAGATGGTTTTTGTTGTTCAAAAGAGTTGGGAATTGAAATGGGTGTTCGAGACAAAGTTGGAATCAGAGAGAAAGGAAGGAGAAGAAGAGGCAACATCCTCTACAATGTCCTCCATGCTGGCGCCTGATCCGTCCAATTTTTCCGCAATATAATGGCATTCTCAACATTTACACAGGAAAGGCGCTCAGAAACAATGGGCTGGACTCGCTTCCACAGGATCTTGCCTCCTCCAATTTTTTCAAACCTGGAGCCTCTCACTTCACTTTATACGTTGATGCAACAGACTTTCCTTTTGGAACATCATTATTTTTTATTTGTTTCTTTCCTCACACCAACATCAAATCCGACAAATCTCTTGTTTGTTTGCTTATAGTACGCTCACTTCTTTTGTTCAAATTAATATAACTCAATTCCTTAATATCAAAAATTTAAATATTCATTTTTAGACTTTAAATATATATATATTACTCAGATATAATATTTTGAGAATATATTTTAGATATTATATCTTAATACTCTTTCTTTATGATTTGATTTATAGTATATTTATTTTATTCTCGATATTTATTTAGTTTATATTTTTCTTGGTAGGTATTAGTTGGTATGTATCATATTTAAAGGTTCTGAATATCAATAAAAATACACTCTTTAGTTTCAATTCTATTTCTCATTCTAAACTTTGGAAATGAAGGATTTTTAATATTTTGTAGGTTAATAAAAGGGTATTTGTCTCTTAGATTTTTTTTTTTTTTTTTAATTTGGTTATCAATAAAAAAATATTGTCTATTATGTATTTGATGGTAATTTTAAAATTGTTAAAAATTTGTGATATTAAAAATTATTTTGAAACATATTTTTAATTATTCAAAATTTTTTTTTTATATAAAATACAAATTATATTTAAGTGTTAAGTCAAACCCCTGTTTAGAATAATCTTTTAATGCAAAAAGTCAAAATTAGGTAAAAGCAACACAAATGGTATTGGTAATTAATTTTTGAAATTAAGTAATTATTAACAAAAGAATTAGAAGATTACGGTAAAATTGATATAATTAAATAAAAATTTAAATATCTAAAATATAATTTAATATTATATAAAAGTCAAAAGGAGAAAATTAAAAGTTTATTCTCGTTTTAGGATTGAAAAACCAAAAGTTTTTAAAAAATTCAAATGATAAACGCAAATATTTTATTTTTTTTATAAAGGAAAATAATTTTTATTTTAGAAAAATAAGAACAAGACAAGGAAAATAAACGACAAAATGAAAACATTAAAATCTTAGGGTTTAAGGCTTTTGGATCTTATTTTATTAAAAAAAAAATAAAAAATTTGAAGAATATAAAAAAAATATTTGTAAAAGAAAAATACGGAATAATATTTTATCAGAAAATAAAGATATATTTAGATAGATTTGGTTAATTTAGTGATAAATTAATTTTTGTAGCTTATTTTTGAAACAAATAAAATACTATATTCTATAATATATAAATTTAAATTTTGATTTCTCTCTCTTTTAAACTAATAATTACATAAAATTAAGTAATTGATTTTTATTTTAAAAACAAATTTCATTTATTTATAGATATATAGTTATCTCAAAATCCCTAATAATTTTGAAAAAAAAATCTCAGAATCTCAGAATTATTTTTTTTAGTCTAAACAACCCATTCCTTGAATTCATTCGATTCTGTTCATTTGTGGAGTTCAAGAACAAAATGGAGATGGGAAGTGGGAAGTCAAAATACAGGTTTTTTATTTTCATGGCGGCTTTGTTCATATCATCACACCCAGTTCTGGGGATTAGATTTGTGATCGACAAGGAAGAATGCTTCTCTCACAATGTTGAATTCATCAGAGATACCATTTATCTCTCTTTTGTCGTCGTTAGCGTTAATACCTGGCGGCATCATGCTCACAATGGCGTTGATCTTTTGGTGGCCACTTCTTTCTCTCTCTCTCTCTCTCTCTTAGATTCATCCAGATTGTTCATATCATTTGCATGTTGTTTATGAGATGTTCGGCTCGTGAATTATCAGGGTTAAGACTTTGAATCTGATTTTACATACGTGTTGCTGTTACCTACCTTACAGAGGTCAAGGAACTGAGCCTTTTGTTTCGTATGTATGGATGAATGAGATTCACATTAGGGTTTAAATATATGTTGTCTATGAGATGTTCGGCTCGTGCATTATCAGGGTTAAGACTTTGAATCTGATTTTACATGCGTGTTGCTGTTACCTACCTTACAGAGGTCAAGGAACTGAGCCTTTTGTTTCGTATGTATGGATGAATGAGATTCACATTAGGGTTTGAATATATGTTGTTATAAGTTTTTTCAAGGTGTTTGTATTCGGTTTATGGATTAAGTTTTTGTACGACACAACAAGTTGTATACAAGTTTTTTTCTTATTTGAAGCTAGCTAGTGACTGTCAATTCCATGTGGATAGTAACATTTACATATCATATATAATACAAATCAATTTCATAAATCTTGTTTTAGGCTTGTTATGATTAAATGTGATTTGCAAAGTACAGGTGAAAGGGCCTTTAGGGGAGAGAATTGAAGAAATTAGAGGGAAAACAAGTGAGAAATTTGAGTTTATTTCTCTTAGAAAAGGGCGATATCATTTCTGCTTCATCAACAACTCACCCCACCAAGAGACCATAGAATTTGATATCCATATCAATCATTACTATGAGTTCTATGATGATGATGAACAACATGTAAAAGATGGTATTGATTCCTTTGATGAACCCTAAAGTTTTTACTTTGAAATTCATACTTCCCTTTACTTTTCTGCTCATCTCATCTGGTTTGAAATGAAATTTACAGAACATTTGAGCCCTTTATTGGCTCAAATAAAGAAGTTGGGAGAAACCTTGGGCGTTATTGAGTTTGAACAGCAATGGTTAGAGGCACAGACAGAGCGACAAGCCAAAGGTATTGTTCATTTATTAACCCATTTCATATACAATCTATTCCTTTGTATTAATTCAAATATCAGATCTAAACAATAACTTCTAGCATTTAGTAAGTAAGTGAAGTACCTTTTTTGCAGTGAATGAAGCAATGAGCACAATGGCGATTCTGAAGGCTGTTCTCGAATCAGCAGCACTCATCGGTGCAAGCAGTCTTCAAGTTTTCCTTCTGCGTCGCCTGTTCGAGAAAAAAGTTGGAAGCCTGTATTCGAGCACCTACAGAATATAATCTCATATCCGAACTCCAGCAGACATACAACAACAAGCATGGCAGAACAAGTGCTGGAAAGGTTGAGGAGTTTTTTTTTTTTTTGTTTCTCTGTTTTTAATGAAACTAAAAGAAATCATCAAATTTGGTTTAGAGCTAAAACTATTCATCCTTATAAGATTATCAGCTTCAGAATGGTTGAATAATTACTTTCTCAACGTCTAATACACCATTATGACTCTTTGTAACGAGTATCTATGTTCATATTATTCTTTCTTCTAATGTTTGCCAACATTTTCAACATAAATATTATGCTCCATGCTTAGAAAGCAAGAGAATATTATGCTCCATGAGGCATGGACTTTCTCTAAAGGGTTGTTTTCGAGGAATCGAAAATCTTCTATGGGGGAAAATGAAAATGGAAAGAGAGAAAGAAACCATTTAACAAACAATATTAGAGATTCAATATCAGATCTAAGCAGCAACATGCTTCCATAAAAAAACAACAAAAAAGAAGTAAAAACAAATGAGATAGCACAGGTCAGCTTCTACCAACACTTCACAGCACCACAAATAAAGCACGTAAAATTCTTCAACTTTTTTCCTCCATGAATGAAGACTAAGGAGCAAATAGTATAGCAGGCTGACTGCAATCGAAAACCAGTGGAGACGATCACAGAGCAACACGGTTATGGGCTCTGAATGCAGCAGAACCATTTCTTCTGGAACAGCAGAAAAATCATCAACGTGAGGGGAAGGTGTAACAGTTCATAAAGAAATGGTACCAATGAGGGGAAGGGGGGGGGGGGGG